ATGTTATAATAGTTTCAGGGGCACCACCTAAGTGATTCTACAATTCTGTACATCAAGCAATGCTCACCACAAGAAGTGTCCTCACCATCTGTCACCATACAAAGTTACTACAGTATTAGTGACTCTATGGCCTACACTATACTTTTCATCTCGGTGACGTATTCACTCTATAACTGGAAGCTTGCTCATCCTCCTCCCCGCCCTTACAAATCATTTTTTATTACAAAAAAGAAATACTTTTCTTAAAAATTAAACTTTCCCTTCCTTGTATATTTTTTTTAGCATTTAGTCTTTACCTTCCAGAGGCAAAGAATGAATTGAGGATTCACAAGACAAACAAACAAACAAAAAAAAAGTATGTGCATGTCCTGTATGTACACATATGTGTGCTTACATATAGACTGCTTAGTACAAGAAAACAACATATAACATGTTTTTAATGTTAAAACACACACACACTTACTTTTAAGAGACTATTAATTGATTGTAGTGTTCTCAAAAGACTATGGTACTTTTTTTTTTAAGATTCATTTATTTACTTAAATAATTGCTACCCCCAACGTAAGGCTCATACTCACAACCTGGAAATCAAGGTCATCTGCTCTTCTGACTGAGCCAATCAGCAGCCTAAGACTATGATACTTTAGGGACGCCCAGGGAGCTCAGCTGGTTAAGTGCCAACTCTTGATTTAGGCTCAGGTCATGACCTCAGGGTTTTGAGATCAAGCCCCACATCTGGCTCCATACTGAGCACAGTTTCTGCTTGAGATTCTCTCTCTCCCTGTCCCTCTGCCCCTCCCCTGCATACTCTCTAAACAAACAAACAAACAAATAAGTAAATAAAATCTTTTTTTAAAAGATTTTTTTAACTCAAGCTTTTTTTTTAATTTTATTTATTTATTCATGAGAGACACACACACACACACACACACAGAGAGAGAGAGAGAGAGAGAGAGAGGCAGAGACACAGGCAGAGGGAGAAGCAGGATCCATGTAGGGAGTCCGACATGGGTCTCGATTCAGGGTCTCCAGGATCATGCCCTGGGCTGAAGGCTGCGCTAAACCACTGAGCCACCAGGGCTGCCCTAAATAAATAAAACCTTAAAAAAAAAAAAGACTATAGTACTTTAGAGACAAGTGGAATATATTAAACTCCCTTTCCCTTGGATCCCTGGGTGGCGCAGTGGTTTAGCGCCGGTCTTTGGCCCAGGGCGCGATCCTGGAGACCCGGGGTCGAGTCCCACGTCGGGCTCCCGGTGCATGGGGCCTGCTTCTCCCTCTACCTGTGTCTCTGCCTCTCTCTCTCTCTCTGTGACTGTCATAAATAAAATAAAAAAAAAAAATTTAAAAAAAAATAAATAAAAAAAAAATCCCTTTCCCAAGAAAATATGTTTCTTCTCCTTCAAGGTGATGAGCATGTCTTGCTTGACAACAATTTTTTAACATGTGTATTCTAATGTAAAACATTTAAGTTTTTGCTAAATTGTTCAATATCTCCCACATTGGGAAGCTGTATTCCTAAAGAAGCTCCTCTTGATTTAGGATGAGTGTCTATGAAGCAAAATGTTCTATGTTTCCTTACCCCTAAAGGGAGTCCTTCCATTTCTGTGACTCTCTCTTTGGTAATCAGAACTTAACTGAGATTCTTATTTCCCGAGATGAAGTCTCAAAACCTTTATCACATGTATTTTCTTTCCCCCAAATCTCAGATCTTTCTGAGATCCGAGTTGATCTGAGAAACAGAAACGATGTTGCACATGAACTCTTGCACAGATCAAGAGGAGCAGCTCTGTAGATGTCCCCCTGAGTTCATCCGCGGTCATCTTCAGGGCTCCACAGATAAGAGTTGGAAATCTCTGCGAGGAGCAGCCTGTGTGCTCCCCGGAGCCAGTGGTTCTGCAACCTCAGTGGGCATCGAATCACTGAGCTGTTAAGTTAAAATGCAAACATCCCAGGCACCATCTCCAGGAGATCCAAGAGTTGTCGTGGATACCAGGAATCCGCACCCACTTCTGGGCGGCCCTGGTGTGAAGGGCCTCTGTCTCACCACACGGACTGCCCCAACTCTAAGGGGTGTGATGTCATTAGTAGGTCTGCACATGCATTTTTTTTAATGAAATTGAATAGTCAAGGGGAGAATAAAAGAGCACAGAATTCTTCAAATAGTAAAATAGCATTGTTTCCTCAAAATGTTATTTCGGATATGTCCTTGAGTATAGTGATCTTGATGTAAATAAAACGTAGTTATTTGCAGATGCTTCAGTGAAAAAAGCTTGAAAACCACTGGGCAGGGCGTACTGTCTGCTTGGACTTTGTGAAGCCCCCAAGCCATCAGTTCCAGTTACCAAACCCTCAGACCCATCAATATGGAACAGCATGCCTTGAGCTCAGCTCCAGTCCCTTTCCCACCACTGCCCAATGTCAGCACGCAGGGTACAGGTGACGGGAGGAGACATGTTCTGAATCCTGAAGGTCAGTGGGCCTTTCTGAATAAACCAGGAAATTCTAGAAGGCTGAAAGTCCACAGAAGTAGGCAACGGTAGGGGTCCCAAAGGGTGGAGGGTCTCCCATCCTCCTCAGCCCCACATGCTGGACCAACCTCACAACACTGAAAAATCACTTTGCAAAAATCCCACGCCTTTGAGAAAGAACTGACATCCAAAGGCAACACGCACCTTTGCTAAAGAAATGAAAATGTGCACCAGACCATGTTAAAGCAGTTATTGTTTATATCCTTTTTAACATAGAACTTGTCAAAAGAAACATCAACCCTGAAGACCAAGACCTCAGAGGCAAGTTTGTTAAAAACTGGTACAATGGGTGACACCAGAAGTAACTGCAGAGGACACTCAACACTTCCCTTTACAGTGACATCTCCCTTCTTCATTTCCTTCTTTTTGCCTTCTTTCTTCCCTTCTTGCCTTCCTCCTCTTCCTCCATCTTCTTTTCCTTCTCTAGGCTCCCACTGTTTCTCTCTCTCTTCCCTCCCCCTCATCCTTTTATTCATGTCTGATTTCTTCTAAAATTTCTCCTCTGCGTGCGCCTCCCTGCTCACCCCTGACTCAGGATGAGGAGGGGACTAGTGTGGTCTCCAAACTCTGCTTGCTCTCAAGTTAGGGCACTTAGGGCAGCCCCTAAGTGGCCCTACAATTCTCACTTCATTAACCTGTCTTTCACTTCTCGCTTCCCATTAATAGTTTGAAAAATGATGTGGAGCTTCTGATGCCTTGAACCCATTTCTTCTCCTTATCCCCTGCGAAGTTAATTTTTTTTCTTTAAAATTACAAAAAAAGGGATCCCTGGGTGGCGCAGCGGTTTGGCGCCTGCCTTTGGCCCAGGGTGGGATCCTGGAGACCCGAGATCGAATCCCACATCGGGCTTCCGGTGCATGGAGCCTGCTTCTCCCTCTGCCTGTGTCTCTGCCTCTCTCTCTCTTTTTCTCTCTCTGTGACTATCATAAATAAATAAAAAAATTATTTAAAAAAAATAAAATAAAAAAAATAAAATTACAAAAAAAAATATCCTCTATGTCTTTAGACACAATCACATAGAGACCTCTTTCTGGATCTGGAGGTTTGACACACCTGCAACTTAGCCTGCTCTATCACTCAGCTTCTATTAGTCCACTATCCCCCAAGAAATGGAAAAAGACTGCAAAAAAAATTATCCAGAGTTCACATAAAACTGTTAACGATCCCAATCTAAATTCCAGTCTCCACTCCATTCTATCATTCCTCCAATAAGTACTTTTTTATGTTTGATGGTTGATTCCGTTTCCATTACTGAAAGCCTGCACTGTGCTAGAAACCTGACCTTTTTTGTCTATTGAGGTATAATTTATATACAGTGATATTCACCGTTGTAAGGTATATAGTTCTATGAGACTTGACTAAGGCATAAAGTCATGTAACCACCATTATAATCAAGATTTTGAGTGTTTCCATCACCTTAGAAAGTCCCCTTGTGCCACTTTGCACCCACACTGCTCTCTACCTCCACAGGCAAAACGTCCTCAGTGATGTGAGATCTTGGGGCATCATGTGAAGTCCTCTCAGGCTCCCAGAATGCTGTCTCTGGTCTGTCTTCTGTGCTTACAGTTTTCCCTTTTCCAGAAAGCCATAAGGCTATCTCCCCATATGGCTTATGCCACTCCGCATGGCACTTCTGAAATGTACCCTGTTCCCAGGGGCATCAGGAGCTCATTCCTTCCTCATGTTGATGGTTTTCCATGGATTGGCTGCTTCCCCTACTCACCAGTCAAGGACATTTCGTTTGCTTCCAGTTTTTGGAGATGAATTAGTTGACTAGGGATCCCTGGGTGGCGCAGCGGTTTGGCACCTGCCTTTGGCCCAGGGCGCGATCCTGGAGACCCGGGATCGAATCCCACATCGGGCTTCCGGTGCATGGGGCCTGCTTCTCCCTCTGCCTGTGTCTCTGCCTCTCTCTCTCTCTGTGACTATCATAAATAAATTAAAAAAAAAAAATTTGAATTAGTTGACTAATGTTGCTATGAACATTTACACGTAGATCTCTGTGTAAACGTGTGCTTTCGCATCTCTTGGACAAATACCTAAAAATTGGGTTGCTGGCAAAATAAGTGTGTTTACTTTTACAGAAATTTCTAAGCTCTTTTCCTAAGTGGCGATACCATTTGCATTCCCACCAGCAACATACGGGAGTTCTTAGTTACGTCTCATCCTTGTCAGCACTTCATATTGTTAGCATTAAGATTTTGTTTTTTAAGCATTCTAACAGGTGTGTAGTATAATTTACAATGCATTTTCCAAATGGCTAATAATGTTGAGTATCTTTCTATGTACTTGCCTGCCATTTGTATTTCTTCTTTGGGAAAATGTCTGTTCAGATCTGTTTTGTATTAGGTTGTTTGTTTTCTTATTATTGCACCATAAGAGGTTTTTTTGTTTTTGTTTTTGTTTTTAACAAATACCAAATACAAGAATTATCAGAGCTCTGCGAGCTCGCCGAGTCGGCGCCATGAGCTGAAAAAATTTATGGACAAGAAATTATCATTGAAATTAAATGGTGGCAGACATGTCCAAGGAATATTGCGAGGGTTCGATCCGTTCATGAATCTTGTGATAGATGAATGTGTGGAGATGGCAACTGGCGGGCAACAGAACAATATTGGAATGGTGGTAATACGAGGAAATAGCATCATCATGCTAGAAGCCTTGGAACGAGTATAAACAATGGACGTGTTCATCAGAAGAAGAAAACTGCTTCCACGTGTCCCCTGTCCATAGTACCTGTTTTACTACAATATAAAAATCAAAAAAAAAAAAATCAGGTCACCCGCATTTTCATATTGAACTTTTTTGTTAAATAAACTTTTATAATAGTCAAAAAACAAAAAAAAGAA